AGCTTGATGTTTTTACATTTGAGGCAGGGAACGATAATTTAGGGGTTTAATGATAGTCTCAAAATCTAAACTTTGATCTGAAGAAATGATTTTTGACTTGTTCAGCAAAATATTACCCGTTCTGTCTTTACAAGTGATATCATAGGTACTTTAAGGTTGCATTTTACAGGAAATATTGTATATTGTATTAAAAATGATGGTTTGATTTATAACTACATTATTTAATAGCAATATCCAAATTAGAAACACCTTCAATCTTGACATAAATTTTGAAGTAAGCATTAACTATTGAAAATTTGAAAACATCTACGAGAACCTTTTGCGACTAAGTGCTCCAAAAAGTGTATTTAAATAAAAATGCATTTAAAAAAAGAGCATTTAACTAAAATTATTAACTCTTTTTTTCTTACCGATGCCGTCAGAGCAAGATCCTTGGATCATTTGGTTGTAAAGTAATTGTTTTTATAAGAAAAAAGATTATGAAAACCATTTTCATTTGTAAGACTAGTTTTGAACAGGGCTGTAAAGTGTAAACATAGTTAATGATTGCTTTAAAGCTAACAACCGATTAGCGTTACTTGTAAATATTTGTATATATATAAAGTCAAATTTTTATATAATATATAGACATAACTGTAAACAGGATTGGACTAGCCCACCAGGACACCGGAAAATTTCTCGGCCTACAGAGAGCTAGAGCACTTATGATTGAAGAACAAAACAATGGAACAAACGAAAATTTTGCTGCTGCAATAATGTGACGTCAAGTGTTATGCTGAGACAAAGTTGCTTGAAGATCAAACACAATCAGTTTGTTATCAGTGTAAGTTCCTCAATCTTTTGACAAGAGATCATCAACGTAGAAACTGTAATAAAAAAAAATTGATCAAAGACAGAAGACAAACGATGTTTTGTGTTACTTGTGTCAAGAGCACAGACACATATTAAGAATGTGTCCAAATACGTACCAAGGAAGAAGATTTTTGCACCAGCTCTCACCCTAAACAATCAGTCATGACGTTACCCACTATACGCATGGACATCAATGACGTTCTTTGGCATATGTTGATTGACTCATGATGTACCTGCTGCATCATTTATAAAATGTGCAACAAAAATTACATGAAGAGAAAATAGCGTGGTAGATGTAAATAGACAACAACAACAGTGCGAAGGCGTTAGCCGACCTCGAATTGTCACGCCAAATAAGAATAAAGTTTTTGTGAAACACTTGTAATTGAAGCCCTGCCTACAAAAGGTTCACAAGTCACACATGTACAGGTTTGTAAAAATCACTGTAGAAATTTGTGTGGACTTATAAACAATTGTTTTAAAGCTAAATTTTGATAGTAAGAAGTTGACAAGTATTATATATACTGCGCTTTAACAATAACGAAAGTTTCTATTTTTTAGTGAAAAATGTTCACAAGTCCAAACAGCCAATAAATATTTATCTGTCGTATTTGTGTTCGTTAACCCTTTAACAGTCCCGTTTTTTTTAAAAACAGTTGCGATTAGTCCAGCTTTTTTTTTTGAAGTGGTCTTTAATAAAGACCAATAAAGCAGGAGAAGAAAGAGTATTGCATAGAAGAGTATTGTATTGCATAGCGTTATTGTGTTACGTTATTTTTGTAGATGGCTATACTAATATTACGTTATTTACGCTCACAGTCATTACGCTCACAGTCAGGAGCAGTTCATTTCATTGTTATGACGTTTTTTAAAAAAAATTACAAATAAATGTGAACTTACTTCACAAACAATGGAAAAAGTTTACAAGTCCATTTTTTATTTTTTTAAAACAAGTTGAAAGTCTAAGTTTCTCTAAAATATCCCTTTACTTGCTAGTTAGGTGTACACTAGTTATGTATTATGGTATTTCTTGAGTTTAACTTAAGGCTATTATTTCAGTATTTTGTATAAAATTCTAAAACCATTTTTTACAAGTTCATCATAATGTGTCTTGTGAACATTTTGCAGGCAGAACTTTAAATCACTTGGTAATTGTTTCTTTATGAGTATAAATGGAATAGAGGCTTTTGGTGAAGTATCAGTATCTGCAACTCGCAATGTTTGATTTATAGGAAAAATGAATTATGTTTTTTATGTAAGTAATATAAATATAATAGCTCAAAATTTCGAGAATGGATAATTTCGCGGAAAAGAATAACAATTCTCAACATGAGCTTCTAGTGAATAAAATTGCTGAATACACTATCCCTGTTGGCATAAAACACAAAAAAGAAATTAAAGGGTGGATAGCGAAAAAATGGCTGCAAAAGTACAACTCAAAGAAACACCAGCCAATAAAGGTTTGGTTTCTCTCATGGCAGTGGTGAAGCAAAATAAAGGAAAAATGCGACTAGTATTTGACTTGAACATGTTTATTGAAGCATTCACTACAAACACAGATGCGTGTATTTACAAACTTCGATAACGGAGACGGTTTGAAAAAAATGTTTTATTAATTGATTTATCTTCAACTTACATGCAAAAAAAAAGTAATGAGAAACTCTGGGATTACTGAACTTTTGTGAACAGTGGACAAAGATTTTATTCAACACGGTTGAGATTCGGACTAACCGTTGCGCCAGTCATAATAAAAGCGGTGTTGGACAAAGCGCCATCTCAAGAGGAAACAATTTAGAAATGAACATTATCATAAATTGATGATATTTTTATCAATGAATTCATAATAACTGTTTATCGCATACTTGATTATTTGGAAGTGTATGGGCTACATTGTAAGCCGGGGGACCGCGCATACGAATGACCAAGAGTTCTAGGCTTACAGGTCAAATAAAAATTTGTGCTGGAAAAGAGATAATGATTTTGGTGAAATTCCAAATTCACTAACAAGACGTAACATCTTTTCTTTTTGCGGAAAAATGACAGGAAATCATCCAGTTTGTGGTTGGCTTCGTGAAACATCGTCGTATGTTAAAAGAACAGCAAACGCCCTGACAAAAACATGGGATAAAAAAAAAAAAAATACAATTAACTGGAAAAAATGCTGAATGATATGGTTAAAAGAACACATATTGATGATCCTGAAAATTGAATTTGAAATGTTTATAGTAGCGAGGCTACAATTTGGGTAGATAATAGTTCAATGGCACTAGGGGCGATTGTCAAAGTTGATGGCAATATAATTAAAGACGCTTGTTGATTAAGAAAACATGACATAACACATATCCAAACTTGATGCAGTAATTAAAGGACTAAATATGAGCCTTAACTGAAAATTTTTGCACTGATTCGGAAGCGGTATTTCATTTAACTGCCGTGGCACTCACTAGAAAATCTAGATTGAGGACAAAGACTTTAAACAAAATACTGATAAGAATAAAGACTCTAGAACATTGCAAATATAAAATGGTTGATGAACCCTCTGAAATGGCAGCAAGTGGCGTTATTAGAACTTCGCTATCTTCCAAAGAAGTTGAACATGCTCATAGATCTACAAGACATTATAGCTTGAAGAAAACATTGTACTTTGTTTGTAAAATCGGCCCGTCAGTAAGTAAAACGGGTGGTTGAAAAATGCATAGCCTGTCAATCAATTGATCCAAGTCCAATAAAATAGTCGAAAGGGGAAATAGAAGTAAAAAGAACGTGGCAACGACTTGGCGTGGATATAACTCATTATGAAGGGCAGCACTATTTTACTCTAATCGACTGTGGATAAAAATGGTATGAAATATAGCGCTATTTTAAAGATCAAAGCCGAGCATTTAATATTCAAGAATTTTTTTTTTTTTTTTAAGCAAAGTTTTGTCATATATTAAAATTTACAATGAAATAAATCGTGTTAATAAGAAAACTGGAGCAAGCAGAAGACATAAATTGTCTTATCATCAAGCCCCATCATAAAATTTACACTAAAAAATCGTCAGTTAATAAAAAAATTAAGAATAGCTAAGTACATAACAAGAATTTTAAATACGTTAGTTACAATATAACTAATAACATAATATAAATAATAGTGTTGAAATATAACGCATTATATCAAAGATTAACAATAATTTAAAAGTATTAAAGTTTTTCAACAAAAAATTAAATTAGATTAAAATTGCAACAAAAGAGAAGTAGTGCCAATAACTGTTTTTTTAGATAATTTATATTATTTGGTTATTATTTTTAAAAGAGATTTTAAATCAAAGTCTTTTTGTAATAAGAGCTTCTTTAATTTTTTAATTAAACGCGATATTTCTCGAACGAGGAGGTCCGTGTAAAATACTGACGGACAGTGATACTTCATTTCGAAGCACATTGTTTTTGCAGTTAGTAAATAGATGCATTTATTTATTAACTGTAAAAACAATGTGCTACAGTAACTCTCTTCGCCGTTGTTTGACAGTTTGATGGCATTGTTCTGCAATTCCATTTCCACAAGGTACGTAAGCGCACCTGAATTAAAGTTTAACATTCCATGGAATGTGCTTTCGTCGTTTGTCTCATATTTGTTCTTTATTTCTCCTCAAAACTTGATTAAAACAAAAAAAATAATTTTATGTGTTTAAAAAATCAATATTATGTTATGTAACATAGATACGTCAATTTAAATAAGAATTTTTTCTTGTTTATGTTTTGCGGTATAAAAACATTAATTTATCTTTAAGTACCTAAATAATAAAAATATAATATAATGAATGATATCTTAAGTTTAATTTTTTTCTGTGTATATAATATTTCTATAAGTGGGAATGTATCTGTTTTTTAACAATATACATTATTAATTAGTTAAATTGAAGAGATATAAATTTATTAAATAGAGAAAAAAAAAAAATCAATTGCAACTGATTTAATATTTTTGTTTAGAGTAAAAGTAAAACAACAAATTCGAAAAAAGTCATTTAAAGTTATAATATTTAAAGTTATAATATTTAAAGTTATAATATTTAAAGTTATAATATTTAAAGTTATAATATTTAAAGTTATAATATTTAAAGTTATAATATTTAAAGTTATAATATTTAAAGTTATAATATTTAAAGTTATAATATTTAAAGTTATAATATTTAGTTATCTTAAAATATTGATTTTTAAAAAATGCCAAATGTTTTGCAACGTTTTTTTTACACAAATGGTGCAACGCCTTTACCGATCGGAATATGTCTCATCGTCTTTTTCCTCAATGTAAGTTATATTTTTACTTTTTATTTTGAACTTTATTTTATTAAGTATTAGACATCAGCGACAAATTTTGAGGAGGATAATATTTATTTATCCACTGTAAGGTTACTTACGACCAACTTTATTTAAATATGCGCTGTAATACTTATTCAAATAAAACAACCTGCCAATTTTGTTTAACAAAACAGTCTATTGGCAACAATAAATTATAGTTATTACTTTAAATATATTTTCGTTATTAAAATTATTTTTTATATTAACCAAAAAAAGATTCTTTACAACATTTTATAACAAAAAGTTTGTTCAATAATTAAGAGCAAAATATTTCATTATCTCCTCTATTTAATTCTACTATATCTTATTTAGTTATTTAACGGAATGGCAATCACAAACCTTTCTTCTTATTTACCAAAGCTTGTAAAGGTATATATCAAATTTACTTTTTTTTATTTTTTTATTTTTAACATGTGTAAATAGCACCACTTTGTACTTAGGACACTTTATTAAAACAATATTAAGTTTTGCAACTTGGTCAGGTAATTTATGACACCAAATACTATTACGTCAACCCTTAAAGAGTTAAATAGGTATATTTACGACAAGTTATTAATAATAAATGCATGATGAAAGGATTCAAACAGTATCCCATCCCCCTTGCCTTAGTACAAAACTTTTCTTCTATCTAAACATACGTATAATTTAGCTATAATCATATTGTTTATAGCATTACTATTTTAAAAAGCTTTTGCTGTAAAATAGAATGAATTATTCTTTATATTTGAGCTAATTAATAAACTTTTTATTAAAAAAAATGAAAATTGTTAGATAAAAACTTAATAGTAGTAATTCTGTATAGAAACAGAATTCAATTTTGTTTTTGATGTACTTTTAAACAAATAATATCCAAAAAACAGTCTTATAATGTTTCTTTTTATTTTTTTTATTGGGTTCTTCTATAAAGAAAAATGAAACATTGTTTATCAATATTTTGCACAGTGAAACTTTATTTCTAGTTTTTATTTTGTATATCTCAGGAATTAACAGTTTAAATTAAAAATTTTTTATTTTTTATTCAAATGAGTTATTACCACGACAATTCATAGCCTTGATTAAGTTACAATGACTTTTTTTGATTTTATATTTGTTAGTTGCGATTAGTATAAGATTTTCACATTTATATTTTTTTCAGTTTCAAAAAAAAACTTAAGTTTAAATTTTTACCCTCCACTAAAACTCTCATATCAAAATATTGGTCTTAATATATTAAGTATAATTTGATGAATCTAACCATAAATAAATAAATTAATATTTTTATTGTTAGTGGGAATTAAGGCGCTCTAAGTCTTGGAATCTCTTGGACCAATAGACTCATAAGGTCTTATCACAGAGCACCGTTGAAGAGCATTTAACAAGTAATTTCAAGATAGGCAGAGGTATGCAACAAGATAGGCAGAGGTATGCGCAATTTAATTGGCTAATTTTGAAAAAGAGGCTTTTGCGCGTATGTTAAAATCAAAACTAATGTCAAAAAGCGTACTGAATAATAAAAGTGAAATAAAAAATTTAATAATAATAACATAAAAAGTATGATTTTTCATACTTTAATGCTAAAAAAGTATCAACTTTTGAACAATATAGTACTTATACTTTTACAAATCTTCACATTTCAAAACATCCGTGATTTTATTAATATTTTCTTTAAAATAAAGAAATAAAAAAAGTAGTTTTCCTAGTGATTTTTATAACTCTAATACACAAAAAGACAACAACAACAAAAAGCAATATTTTTACCAGAAATATAGATGTTTTATATAAGAATGTTATAATTTATAAAAAATATATATACAGTCTTCATTCTGGATGTTTCACTATCATATAGCTGGGCTAAATCGAGGAGAGCGACTATGAACAAATAAAACAAACAAAATAAAAATGCAAATAAAATAAATAATACACTCACAGAAGGTTGTAATTAGTCAACATTCATATTAATACCTTATACATTTTTTACGGTGATATATATTTTATCACCAGTGATACTACTGTTGTTTCTATTTATCTTGTATAGCAAGTAGTATTTTAATTTGGTTTTGAGGACATTTTTCAATGTTTTTAAAAGGGATTGATTTTGATTTATTTTGAATTTGATTCCAGTCCATTAATGCAAAGTATTTAAAGGAATGTTTACGATAGGATTTTGTATTACATGATGGCACACCTAGTGCACTTCAACAAGAATTTCTTGTAAGTTGACAGCTAATTGCACTGCGTAAAGTAAACCATTTATTAAAAACAGTAACAGCCTTTTGTTTAGGCAGCTGTGAATAAACAAAAAATTTTCAATTTTAATTATATCATGTACTTTTAAAGTTTGTATTGCGTTAAAAGATGTGAATGTATGTGAATTTTTTGGTAGTATTTCAATAATCCTGATTGCTTTTTTCTGCATAATAAATAGACGATTTGCAATACTTAAGTTTTGACTTTATTTCACTCTCACATCACATATTGTCTACTATCAGACAATATGTGATGTGAGAGTGAAATAAAGCATAGTTAATAGATTTTAAAGTTTTTTGTTGTATGAAATGTCTTAGCTTTGACAGAATTGCAAGGGACTCGACTTATTAGATAAATCGTTATAATGTAAAAAACAGGCGAAGTTTTCGTCTAGCTTTATACCCAAGTAGTTTACAAATTTTTTGTACTAAGTTTTTTCCCATTTAATTTAATTTTGAGCTGTTGATCGAATTTTTTGTAACGACTTTTAAATAATATTATTATTATTTTTTTGGATTTAAGGGAAGTTTTGTTAGCATTTAGCAAGTTGCATTTTTTTAAAGGTCATAGTTAACATTTTTGTTGATTTTTTTTATAGACTTATTAAAATAGAGAAGATTTGTGTTATCTGCAAAGTGTTGAACTCAAAAATTTTAAAGCTTTAGACATGTCATTTATGTAAATAAGAAATACCAAAAGGCCAAGGACAGATCCCTAAAGAACACCGACTTTGATATCATTCAGGTCTGAGCTCACCCCACTAATGGATAAATGAGTTCTATTAGTAAGGAAAGATTTGAACCAAGAGTTTGAAACTCATCTAATACCATAGTAGGATAGCTTACAAAGTAAAATGTCAACATCTACAGTGTCAAATGCATTTTGATAGTCGATAAAAATGTCACATCCAAATATTCCTTCATCCAGATGGTCTTTAATTTTTTCTGTTAGGCTTAGTAAAGCAAGTGATGTAGAGTAGTTTGTTGAAAAACCAAATTGTAATTCAAAAAACAGTTTATTTTTTCATTGAAGAATTTGTATAAGCGATTAAAATAAGTATAAAATTAGTCTTTCAAGAATTTTATCAATTTTGGAGAGGAAGGAAACTGGCCAGTAGTTTGACATTATAGTTTTGAATCAGTTTTAAAAATAGGTATAACTTTGGCAGTTTTTAAGTTTTCTGGGAAAAAACTACTTGAGTCTCAAGTAGAAAAAAAACAAATATTTCATACTCATTATGAAATATGGTTTTATTTGTTTGATTTTTAAAACTAATATACTTTTTAAAGAGATTGTTTTTTGTGCTGTATAGAGTGTTTTAGTTCTTCTGCTAATTATGGTTTATTCTTGAATTTAATGTTTTGTTTCTTAAGCTTTTACTTAACAAACAAAACATTAAATTAAAAGCAATAGATTAATATTGGAAATATTATTCTTAAGAGACTGAGTACAATTATCAAGGCATATTTTTGATTCTCTGTCTAAATTAATTTTGTGAAAATCGTTCATTAAAACTTTTCCAGTAACTTCAATGAAACTTTTCCAGTTTCTTTCCTAAATTAAGAGCTTTTCGTTAGGTGGTGCTTTAAGAATATTATAAGCTAGCAGAAATTAGGGAAGATGATCTGAGATTGTGGTGGTAAGATTCCCTGTTTTATATTTATTTGATTTAATATTTGAAAAGATGTTATCAGTTAATGTTGTTTAAGTTTTGTTGATTGGAGTAGATTTTAAAGGTCATCGTGTTGGATTTTTATCGTGTTGGATTGGAGTAGATTTTAAAGTGTTAATGATTGAGTGGGGGCTCTCTATTGGAAAATCCGATACTTGATAAGATTCATTTATTTTAGTGCCACCATTAGTAAGATTTTCATTGTCAATTAAATATTCGTTATTGAAGGAAAAAAATTGTAACAAACCATAAGCCATTTGGTGAAACTTGACTCTTCTGTGATTCTCATACGATAGATTTTTGAAAACAGTTTTATAATTTACATAGAAATATCAATAGAAAATAATAAACTTGTTTTCTCATTAATAGTCATATCACAGGATTTACAAAAAAAAAAGATTTAATAAAAAATTACCTAATTTCTATTCAGAACTTCACAGTTATTACTCCCATCAGGCCCACCCAGAGCTTTTGTGATGCCCGGGTCCAAAAGTTTAATGGATGCCCTTTCATACTTCAGGTCTTAAAATGTAAATATAAACAGCAAATAAATTAGTGGAGATTTTTTTTCTTAACTTAACTTTTTTTTTAAAACAACCTATGGTAAAATCTTTCTTAGCGGCAAAATTTTAAATATCTTCTCCATAAGAAACGTTATTGGCTAAATTTTGATTCAATTGATAGGATCATCAAGTGGCAAATAACGAACAAAGATAATTTTTGATGAAGCTAATTTCCTGAGGGATCTGTCACCGTCAGATGTTGAAACGGGCAATAAAAGAAAAATTCTAAATTAAATACACACTTATGGCATTAATGAATGCAGCCCCTTTGCATAAATTTCATTTAAAAGTTCGACACGCTTTCCGTTGGCTAGAATACTTCTATTTACGAAAAAAAAATTCCGACCGTCAGAAAATTCGTTTTACATAAGTCATTATATGCCAGATTCTGAACTTTTAAATCTAGTTCTCCGCCTGTTCTGAGATTTATGGGAAGATCAAATCAAGGCAAACTTGTTACCATTCCTCTTTTATTACTTTAAATCTTGATCTCATTTGACAAATTTGTCAAATTGTCGAGTGCAACATTGAAGACATTACACTCAAAGTTTTTTGATGCTTCTTCGTGGTTGTAGCTAGAAGTTTAATCAAGGAATACCTTCTTAGACCTGATAAAGGCAATTTCTGTTGCCTCTACCAGGTCTAAGAAGGTATTCCTTCTTAGACCTGGTAGAGGTCTAAGAAGGAATACCTTCAGGTCCCAAGACATCTGGATTTGATCCAGATCCGTCAAAAATTTAGAATCTTCACTTCGTTATCGAGAGTGAGTTGAGTGGATTGAAGCAGAAGACTCACTCAATTAACTGCCATCAAATATTTAAACCAAAAAGTAGTGAAAAAAAAAATTTATCCATTGAAATAGATAATGCACTTCATCACTACATTTTTGCTTGGAAGGTCTAACACTTTTAGACAATGTAATGATTTTTATGATCTTTCTTGGCTTTTTTGCTTGTGGTTTGACTGCTTTAATCCTTGAGCTCCATCGTGAAACAAGAAATTTATGCAGTGATTTTATAATGAACTGGGCTGCAGCTAAACAGAATGTACAGCTTTTGAATATTTCTAAAATAAGATTTCGCAGGAGTCAATGATTCAATAGCGTGTGTTGTACATAATTTCAAACTGTGAGCAGATCAAGAAATAAAAAATGCTTTTGAATTATTCTGCCTAATCAAAGCTTGAACTCCATCGTAAGTACCTGACAATAAAGCGCAATTTTTTATTTCGAACTCATTCTTTTCCAACACATTCAATATCAACATTTTTATATCAGATCCTCTCATCTTTTTAAGTTAGTTTAATTTAAAAAACCTTTCTTTGAAAACTCAAACAGCTGATTATCACTAAAAATCAAAAAAAAACAAAAAAATGAAAGTAATTTGATCGTTGTGGTACGAATTGGGAGTGCTGTCCGTGATAATAACGAAATATATTGATTTCTTAAATAACTTTTCGAACCTCTAATTTGCCGCACTCCTTGATAAACCCATTCTGTGATATCCAGGAAGCAACGAGCTAGCATTTTCTTCTTCTTGGTGCTTAGCAATAAGATGCATATGATCTTGAAACGTTTTGCTGTGGCTAAAAATAATCAAAATAGTAATCCATATTTAAATTCAATTATAACTTATAATTTTGATTTAATAATAAAATAGTGTAAAATATAATTTAATATTTAAAAACAATATTTTTACGCCTAAAAGCTAAATTTCTTAAAAGCTAGAAAAATTGTGACATCAAGAATGCATTATAAAGTTACTTTCTATCAATTTGTTTCCTCTCTAATTTTGTTTCATCTTCAAAAGAACTATTATTTATCGTAATATCGTAAGTAAAAAAAAAAAATTTAACTCTCTCCACTTTATTATGCAAACAAAATGCTAATGAAAACGTGAGAGTTGATATGGAAAATGAGAACCTTGTAAAGTAATAATTATAACAAAGTTTAACAGGAGTACGAAATTAATACGTAAACATTTTTTATCATAAATTTTTTTTTTAAAGCTTATGCAGGTTTGGTCGGGAAGCGGGTGCGATCGTAGTAGATTTGGCGGGTTTTTTGTTTTCGCAAATATTCTTTATTTTTATTTTTTGAGAACATTTAAGTTTATGTATGTTTCCGTGTAAGTCCGTAATACAAGATTTACGATACAGATTACAGATTACGATAAAGATTACAGATTATTGTAACTCAATAATTATTTTGCGGACAAACAAGGAAACATACGTGCACTTGAATGTTCTCAAAACGAATAAAAAATCTAGCCGGTTTTTCGCAACTAAATATTATTTCCGTAGTCAGTTATCGAGTGCGACCGCACCCGCTTCCCTTATGTGATGCCCCATTGACTGTGATAGCCGGCGCAAACTACTTTAATTGCCCCTTCCTTATGGCGGCCCTGACTCCCATATTTAAACTATATACATTAAAAAAAGTATGTTTTTTTCCAAAACATTTTAAGTTTGAGAATATTGCTTATTAATTGTTAAAGCCCAGGTAATATGCAACACTCTCAAATTAAAAGTAATTTTAAGCAAGAGCTGATTTTAATTACCTTTGGTAATGTATACTAATAAAAGATTACAAAGCATTGTAGCATAATTAATTATAACAAAAAGTCTATAAGTTGATGCTCACAAGTTACTTGTGGAAATCAGCTTATAGACTTTTTGTTATAGTTAACTATACTACAATGCTTTGTAATCTTTTATTACTATACATTACCAATGGCAATGATACACACCTGTCAAGTGTGGTTTGATGTAATAAATTGATTATAAATGTAGAATAACTCATAACTTACCACACTTTTTACGAAGAACCAAGTGTAAAAAAAAAAAAAAACCACAAAAAAAACCACAACCTTGGAATAGCTTTGGAGGATGTGAATGAATAATTCGGTTTTAAACACAAGGATTCGATCTCTCTAAAAGATGACTCATTACATCTGTAATGAGTTGCTCTAGATGTGATGTCTTATGAGAGAGAAGCTTTAAATAGTTTCTAATATCTTTGTTGCTTGCTTCAAGACCTTCCTTCGATAAGTTGCCAAGGCCATAATCATCATTAAGAACTATTAACTCAGCTGAATGATGAAGGACTCCATAAAGAGTGTCGTTAATTTGTGCCCATGACATATTTGTAATAATGTTAAGTATAGCATTATTGCATAATTCCTAAAATTTGTCTATTTTAATTTTACGCTGACAAGAAACTATACAAAGTATTATACTGATTTGAGAATGTAATAGTAACATACTATCTTTGTACATAGGAAAACATAGATCTTTTATGTTAGAAATTAATTCTTCAGAAAAAAATCTACGGCCTTGTGACCCTGTTGAAGATGTCCCTCCCTTCTCATCAGAGTTAAAACACATATCTAATCTCAGTGTCTTCTTTTATTTTAGTAATAACCCTGTCTTTTGCATTACGTATTGGTTCACCAAGCGGTCAAGTTTTTGTAACCCAAAATCTATAATCTTTATTACACTGATAAAGTATTTTTAAAAACTAGATAGTGCTATATATATGAATGTGTAATACATATGCTTTTTAGATCAGTATTGGTTTGCAGTTTTTAGTCAGTCCTTTTCATGTGGCGAAATCTCCAGTTTTAGTTGGAATCATATCACCCTTATCAAATAGCTTTTCGAACAGCATCCAAGTTTCTTCTGATGATCGATCGATTGGAAATCTATCACTAACTCTCCTAATATCTGTCCATTCAGTAGTTTTTGTTTTGAAAAGTATACAATCTGCACCTCCTTGTCCGCTGATAAGTTGTTTAAACTTTAAATCCTTCATTGTATCTTGAATATAAATTTTGACATTGATAAAAAATTTTTCCAAATAGACAACTCATTCCTTAAGCATTTAACTCTTCTCATGCGTTATCAGTAGTTGGGACAATAAAATCTAGCAAATCTTGATTAGTTTCTGTTTTGCTTATCAAAAACACGTTTCGCAATGATCTCAATGAATTTGGTGAATAATTTTGCCATAACATAAGAAACATAAATCTATAGCATAATTACATAAATAAGTTTTAAAAGCTTTGAAAAAAAATTTTTTTTGAAAAGCTTTGAAAAAAAAAAAAAAATTGCACATTTTAAATTTATTTATTTAAAGATATATTTCATATCATATTAAAAACAACTTTTACATAAGTAGTTTATCAATTTTCATGTCAGTAAATTTATTTTGAATGAAAACCAAATTTACTAAAATTTTATAGATACAAAAAAAAATTGGAAGATCATTAACTTCAAAGTTGCATATCATCACTTAGAAATTAGTTAGAAACATAATTTTTTATTTATTTATCCACAAATTTATCTGGCTTTCTGAATAAATCTTCTGAAAAAATAAGACTTTCTCAAACAAATAATTTTTGTCTATTTCCACCTCTGGGCCCAATGAGGGTAAATAATATTAAATAAAGCAACAAAGTTTTATAAATTTTATATTTATTATGCTATTATTTTATATTATACACTACTGAAGAAAAGAAAATATGTCTGCTCTAGAAAAATGAAAAATAAAACTTAAAATGTATTCGTATTTCCAAGTTTTATAAATAGTTTTATGTAAGTTTTAGTATAACCAAAAAAATAAAGTGTGCTTTTTTTAAATTTGTGTGAATACCTTTTTTTAAATAAAATTACTGTTCAAAAATTACTGTTCAGTAGACAAAAAAAATTTCGCTTCTTTTGTTAAGTTTAGTATTAAATTTAACAAAAGAAGTGAAATTAAGTATTAACATCCAATTGTCATAATATACAAAATAATGCAGCCTGCCAAACTTTTTCTAAATATTTAAAAAGTATTTTATGGTTTAAGTATTATGTTTTATTAAAGTTATATAATAAAAATTATATCAGTCTTCTCGAAACTAAAGTTAAAACAAAACATAAAAAACAAAATCACCACAGAGTTCATATATTGACATGGAACATGTAAGCTAGTTTTTGAATCAGTAAAATTTTTTTTTTTTTTTTTTGAAAACTTTAATGTTCAACTTTTTATAATGAACATATAAATCAATTTATAAATAAAGTTCTTCACCAGTAAAATCTAAATTCTTATTGTCTATGAAAATTTACTCCAAAGCAAACTATCCTACGTTTGAGTAAATTGTCCTACAAATTATTTTTGGCGGATTATTTATTTTGGACTATGCAATAATGTATTTTAGCATTTGTTTAAACGATGGATTAAAAATTGCGTTTTATTCTGTAAATATGAAAAAAACTAATCAGCAAATTCACAATCTGGTAAAAATGCGTATAATTTTTGTATACAAAAGTATTTCACCTGTAGACTTGTACAACTGTATATAAACTTTGTATTTGAGTATGGTTCAAGGATAATTTTACAAGAAACACATTACAGATTTTTTCAAATTTACTTTAACACATACATAAAATCCCATCATTAAGTCTTGGTAATGGGGATTTTATCTATTGTTAATGATAATAACAACAGATAAAATGACAATAGCAACAGATAAAAAGCACAAGATTTGTATTGTATTGACAATACAAGTCTTGTGCTCTTATCAACATAGGAGATTCATCAAAATATATTTGTACAAAAGATATTTCACTCATAAAAATTTCAAAGTTTAAAAAAAAATGTGTTTAAGTAAATTTAAAAATTTTATGAACTTACTTTAATGAAAAATAAATATATAGTATAAATGTATTTTTTGTAAAATATAATGTCCTTGGTTTTATAACAAAGTTTATATGCAGTTGTACCAGACAATTAGTGAAAAACTTCATTTATAATTTTTGTTGATTATTGAGTTAAACAGAGTTTTTTCAAAAACAAAATTTGTACTACTGATTGCAAAATTAGCGTACACGTTTCATGTGAATTCATGAACTCTGGAAGTTTTTCTTTTTCTTTTTTTGTTTCAAGCTCAATTTTGAAAAGGCTATATATATTATTTGTGAGGTATTTATAAAATTGCATTTATTATTATTTTTAATTTGATCTATATATATATATATATATATATATATATATATATATATATATATATATATATATATATATATATATATATATATATATATATATATATATATATAAATATATATATATATATATATATATATATATATATATATATATATATATATATATATATATATATATATTTTCAACTCTTTGCAATATTAACTCTATCTTTTAATTTTTCTATCCAAAATAAATGTGACAAAAGCAAGAAACATCTAAGTTTTAATTATGAAATGTAATGTTTTGTTGATACCTATTTATGAATAATGCTTATTATAAAAAACATTTTGTTAAAATTATTAAAAACAAGCATTTTAAACTATATTTTCTGTAATTTATTTTCAGAAAAAGTAAAACTATTATTTATATTGGTTTATCATCAAAATCATTTATTGGATATCAGATGTTGTGTCATTTGTGATCTAAAAAGAGCCAACGTGCAAACAATGTGCCTAAAATATCAAATATCAATAAGTGTTGTTTGAGAAATATATATAAGTCAATGAAACGGTTCTGTTGAAAATCAGAAAAGATTTAGTTGCCTCCAAACACTTTAACAAGAACTGATATGCTAATAGCAAAGAACAATTTAACAATAACCTCAAGACAGATTATTGAAAATCTTAAATTCAATGTTAACAGCTTAACTGTACAAAGAATACTTATTTGGTTGCTTCTTTGGTTTGGGGATGCTTTGCTTCAAATAATGTAGGGAAGGTGGTAGATTTTGATGTTATAATGGCAGGATAATTTATGTTGATTTGCTTTCAAAAATTTATGTCAATAAATTTTAGATGTCAATCTTTTTTTTATTTATGTCAATAAATTTTACATGTAAAGAAAATGTCAAAATTAAGATTGATTTTTTCAACAAGACAACAACCTAAAACACACCAGCAAATTGGCATAACAGTTCTGCAAAGTTTGCTATCTTTTTTAAAATCTAAAATCCCTTATTCAAAACGAACAAATAAAAAAGATTTTTCTGATGTTCTCAGAGACACATAGAATTCAATTGGTGCTGACATCACAACGAAGTCTGTAAAAGGGATGCCAAGACATATAGAAGCAATTAAAAAAGCAAGAGGTAGTGCAATTAACATGAAAATAAAATGAAAGTCAAATTTACTAAAGTGAAAGTCAGACATAATGTTCTGGCATTCTTAATAATAGTTATTGGCAAAACAATATACTTGATATTTTTTACATTTGTTACATTTAGTTTAGATAAATAGCTAATTTCATTATTCATCATTATAATTTAATTATAAATAAGACTCATGAGAACTTGAAGGAACAATCACTTTGTCTTGGAAATGTTTCTATCAAGCTATCAGTGGAAATAAAATTTGAAATTTTCTTAAATTTGGGTCTTTAGTTATATTTTCTTTTACTTTTTTTATTTTTATAAGTTTTTTAAAATGTGTTTTTAATATAGGTATTACCTACAATGCTTTCATGTTTATTACATCTTTACATTTTAATTTTATTTTTAGACGTTTAATGTCAGTGAAATAAATACTGGTCAGTATTTTTTTGTTTTATGTTTTTTTATTACTTAAAGTTTTTCCAAAAAGTGAAAGCCTAAAATAAATGATTTATTTATTATTTCTTGTTTATTTTGTTTATTTTGTTAATAATATAAAAAATTTTATTGCTTTGATTTCAACTTTGTTTTATAATAATTAAATTCTAAATTCTAAATTTTTTTTTTTTTTTTTTTTTTGTTAATTAGGACAATATGCTGGGGCTGTTTCATCTTCATTGTCTGTGAGCAGAATAATAAGCAGGTAAAAGTTTATGTACGCAAAGTTTTTTAAAAAAATTATATCTCAAGCTTTATTGATTAGTTTATGTCTTGCTTTAAGAAAATAAGAAAATTTTTTTAATTAAATCAAAGTAAATAAATCTATTAAAAATAAATTAAAAAAAAAAGGAAAAACCTCTGTAAAAAAAAAATTATATAATAATAAATTAATTTAACTGTGTTTTTTTCTTGCTTTTTATAATTTTTTTGTAGGTTTATTAGTAATTTTAGTAGCACATTTGGAATATTCATTGAATATTAAATTTTATTTAATTATCAAATTTTTAATAAATTATCACTAATTTTATGCTTACTGTTATTATTAATTTTTATACACTTGTAAGCAATAAAAATAATTTACACAAATGAAAATTAAGGTAAAACAGGGAGTAAAATAAAATTAAGGTATAATAAAACAATTATGACAATGTTTGTCATAATTATTTCATTAAAATATTCTTTTGCTTTTAATTATTAAATAAAATGTTTACAATTGTTTTTTGATCATGTTGAAAAGAATTCTTTTCATAATAAGAGGTATAAAGTTTTAATTAAAAGTAAATAAATATTTTTTGATAAATTAATAACTTCATAAATTGATAAACTGCATAACTGCATAAACTGCATAAATTGATAAATTTTGAACTGCATAATAATTTTTTCTCTCTTTATTTCAAAATTAGCATAAAACTGACTGCTAACTTATTTATTAATTATGCCTAACAGTTCTAAATATAGTTATGATATGATGAGGTATATTTTAATTATAGACATATGAAACATGTTAACTATCAGGTAGTATTGATTTCTATCGAAAAACATATCTTGCTGATTTTCTTGCTCATTTGTCACACATTCTGCACTCACTACTCATGTCAAGAGAGTTTGGCTTGAATTACTTCAACAGTTTTATGCAAAAATAAATTTGAAATCCTTCTCAGAAGAATGTTGAACTGAATCAAAATTTTTAAGCTTAGGTGTAGTTTTTATGTTAATAATTACTAGATTTACTAGATTATGTAGTAAAAGTTTGTTTCAGTTTAACATCAATAAAAATGATCAGTCAAAATTGCTATTTATTATTAAGTTTAAAATACCACAATGACAACCTGATTCTTCATTATCTCAACCACAAAAATCTATGCCAGTATCATTTTTTAGACACATTTTTTTTAATGTACATTAAGAACAACTAGCATATGTTGTTTAGCATATTCATGTAGCCTTTAACATTTTAGTATATACAGTAACTCCTGCTATTCTTGCAACCAACATGTTGATATAAAAAAAATTTCCCTGAAAAATCTTAACATGTCAAGAAGAGTGTCTTCATGGATCTAAAATTTTTCATATTTAAAGATGCTAAAACTTTGATGATGAGTAGCAGATAAACTTTGATGATGAGTAACAGATAAACTTTGATGATGAGCAACAGATAAACTTTGATGATGAGTAACAGATAAACTTTGATGATGAGTAGCAGATAAACTTTGATGATGAGTAACAGATAAACTTTGATGATGAGTAGCAGATACACTTTGATGATGAGTAGCAGATAAACTTTGATGATGAGTAGCAGATAAACTTTGATAAAAATTAGCAAATAAGTTGAGCAGCACTAGAAACTCTAACAACAGCAACAGCAGTTAACCAAGTCAAGTCTAAAAAGTAGAAGTGTACTGGATACAATATCAGGCTGATGGGTATCTGGCCAAAAGTACCAGATTTACTTTTCGGAATCTGACCGGATATTATATATTTGACCAGATAAATGATTTATCCTATGTGTTGTACCAGATATTACTTTGTGCTATTTTTTTTATAAATTTAATACAGGTGTTTAAACAAGTCACTAACTAAAAATGTGGTTCTGAACTTGCTTTTAAATAATCAATTAAAAATGCTATAATAAAACTAAAATTATTCCATGGTTTTATTTAGCTGTTGTAGTTAAGTAATGATCACAAGCTTGAGTAAATCTTTGCAGAGTGGCCACATCTCCTAAAAAATTCTAAAATGTCCTATTATTTGAAAAACATCCTAAAAAGAAATAATTTCTCCTAAAGTATAGGTGATTTTCTCAAAATCTCCTAATTTATTTGTCCTGAGTATAATGCATAAACTATTATCAGCCAATCAACAATAAAGTTAAAGAAAAGAATAAGATTTGGAGTTAGTACTGTTGATTGCTAACAGAAAATAATTTACTCAAATGTATATTTAATATTTTTGTAATATTTTAATAATTTAAAAATAATATTCTAATAAAATTTAAGTTTTTTTTTCTTATTTCTGCCTAAGTACTGAATATGAAAATTATTTTTATTAAAAATTTATTTTAATTAAGTTGACCTAAAATAATTTTGTACGTTCAGAATAGAAAATGTCAGTCAAATATAAAGCTAAATTTTAATAGCGGTTAAAAGACAATAAATATAAAAATTTTTATTTAAGTATTATGTTATTATATTTTAGTCAAGTATTATGTTATTATGTTAGGTATGTTTGATGATTTTTTTATTTCCGGATATCTTTCTTTTAACTACTCCTTTTTGCCATAAGTTTTTTTTTTTTAAATATAATTCTGCAATACCTTTTTTTTGTTAACTTTTTCAATTATCACTTATCATAAAGTTGAGAAAGCCACCAGCCAAATGCTAAATTTATAAAATAAATTATTCTGCATTGTTTAAATTTTGTTAAATTTTTTTTGCAAAATATGTTCTGAATTTTTTTAAATATAACCTAGATAATTGCTGTATGTTTGAAAGTTTTATCTGTTGCAGATCTGGATAAAAAAACATTGAAAATACATGTTAATGAAAAAAACATGTATTTTTGAATATTATATGTACTATGTGTTTGAATATTATATGTACTATGTGTTTGAAGGTTATGTCTGTTGCAGATCTAGATACAAACACATTGAAAATACATGTTAACAAAGATATAAACAATTTATGCCTTTGAGTGATAAAAACAGTCATTGAGCCACCAGTTGAGCCAAAGGTGAACACTGTGTATACTTAAGTTATATTTGTTTAATGGTATAAATTTAACATGGTAAATTTAACATGTTAACATGGGTAATATTTAACAGCATTTGTTTTGAAAATTTTTTATAATATGCTTTTGCATATTCACAAAATTTAGTTTTTTCACATATTCATTTTATTAATTTATTTATCCATGTTTGAATATTTTAATATATTATGAAAAAATGTTATTAATTTTTGCTTAACTGTTTATTATAAAATATATTGAGTTCTGTTATTTTTTCTAACTTTACACTGCCACAATGTGTTTTTATTTATTTATATTTTTTTGCATAATGTGCAAAAAATGTAAGTTTTTAATGCCGGGTGCATAAGTTTTTATACTTTCACATTTTTGTTTTACTAAGTTAACCTAAACAGTTTTATATTTTTAGATTAGAAAATGTCAGTCAAATATAAAACTAAGTTTTAAGATAACTTGTTAAATCACAATAATTATAAACAAATATAAAAATGTATAAAAATGTCCCAAGGATTTGTATTCGGTAAAATGTAAGGTATTTTTGAAAGTCATTTCTGTTGCAGAGTTCAAAGGCATTGGAAAAACATACTAATGGTAATAAACACAAACAATGTATGTCTGTGTGTGATAAAAATGCATTGAAAACTGTTGTAGAACCATCAACTAGCTCAAAAGTGGTAATGTGTCCACAGCAAGCTTCTATTGTATTTATTACAGAGTCGCAGTTAGCAAAGAAAGCAGAGATAATGTGGGCAGTTGATGTTGTGCTTTCAAAACATTCTTTTCAATCAAGTGCAAATAAATCTGAATTGTTTACTGCAATGTTTAGTGATAGTCAGATAGCTAAACAATTTTCTTGTGGGAAAACAAAGTTTACTTATCTTGTGTGCTTAGGAATGGCATCGTATTTTAAGGAAATTTTGTGTGAGACATCAGAGCTTGATCAGTTTGTTTTCCAATTTGATGAATCTTACGACCAAGTTGTCAAGAAGAGTTAAAAGGATTTACATGTTAGATATTTGAACTCCTCATTAGAGATGGTAAAAACAAGATAATTCAACTCTGAATTTTTGGGAAAAGCTGCTGCTGTCGATATTATGATAAATTTTTGCAAATGTATGAGTGGTTTAGAAGAAGATAAAATGCTCCAGGTTTCCATGAATGGTCCAAATGTTATCATGTTTTTCCTCTCTAATTTGAATGCTAAGAGAAGTGAATGTGAACTCAGTCAGTTAGTATCAGTTGGATCATGCGGCCTTCACACAATACACTGTTCATTTAAGATTGGTAACAATGCTTCAAAATGGAAATTGAACAAATTAATGTCTTCATTGTGTAAAATATTCCATAAAAGCCCTTCTCGTCATTCTGATTTCGAAAATTTTACTCAAGCTCAGTTTTCAGATTATACTCTACAGTTCTGTAGCCATTGTTGGATTGAAAATGAGAAAGTAGCAAAAAGAGCTATAGAAACATGGCCCAAAATTATTGTGATTATTGACTTTTGGAAAATTTACCAAAAAACAAGCAATCTGACCAATGTAAGCTTGGGTAAAATACTATTTACAAATACCTTTCTTCATGCAATAAAGATGTGATAGTCCCTATAAAGCTGCAATTTTTTGAGGAAACTGCAAAACTTTTAAATTCTTTTTTGTTAGTTTTGCAAACCGACAACCCTATGACACTTTTTTTTGTGGGAACACTTGAGAATTTACTAAGGCTATTTTTATCAAAATTTATCAAAAAAGAAGTTTTGTCTGAAGCATCGACAACTTTTAAATTATTAAAAGTTGATATCAGTGATGCCAAAAATCAAGTGTTGGTTGCAAATATTATTCTTGGGTTTGGAATAAAATATGAGTTGCAGCAGCTAAAATCTAAAAAAAAAATTACTGATGCACAAATTTATAATTTTAAAACAGAATTTCAACAGTTTTTAGTTACAATATGCAAACATATGGTTGAAAAAAATGCTCTAAACTCATACTTTGCCAGATACTTATTACGTTTATCACCTTTGTACATGGTTGAATCTCATGAAATATGTGAACTTTATTTTGACAAGTTGTTGCTGAAATTAGTTGCTTATAAAAAGATATCACCTTTAGTTGCTGATCAAGCTAAATTACAGTATTAACAATTTTTAATTACTGTTGTGAAAGTGAACAAGGAAAAATTTCTTGGGTTCAAAAAAGAAAGTGATAGATTGGATTCTTTTTGGTTCAATATACAGATGTTTTCAAGATTCAAGGACTTAATGAAATATACCAATTGTTACTAATATACCCATGGCCAATATTAGTAACAAGTAGAGCGTGGATTTAGTATAAATGACCAACTTCTGGATAATAATATGCTAACTGATACTCTTGTTGCACAGAGAATTGTACATGACCACATGTACAGTGAAAATATAAAATCAATTGTCTATGACAACTAAACATGTCAAGGATGGCTATGACAACTAATTGGCTATGATAATTAAACAATTGGCTATGACAACTAAACAATTGGTTATGACAACTAAACATGTCAAGGGACATGTTAAGGATGCACGAAAACTATATTTTAGCATTCAGAAAGAGATGTCTCTGAATGTCTAAAAACTGACCGTGAAACTGAAAAAGTAATAAAGAAATTACTAGTTATAATGAACAAATTCACACCCTTGAAGGTATCATACTTCAGCTCAGATATGGTGCAGATGAGTATGTATTGCAATCAGAAAAGCCAAAATCATTGATAAAAATAAAGTCAACAATTCTAAAATCTAATGCGCTAAAGAGAGTTGCCTCTGAAAAGCAGGACCTAAAATCTCCTAAGGTTTTTATCCTTTTTTTTTTTAAATTTCTCAATAAATCTCCTTAAAAACCTTTAAAAATCTCCTATATCCTAAATTATCCTAATATTTTGAGACGAAAAAAGTGTGGCCACCCTGCTTTGTATATACCATATCTCATTGATTATCTCACATCTTGTTGTGTTTTTTAGAATTTTCTACAATAAAATTACACTCCTCCTTGATATTTAAGGATCACACAAAATGATCAAACAAACTTCCACATAACCTCCTTTATAACAAATTTAATCAATAATTTATATTATACTACAATCAAAAAATACTCACATAAAACTTTATTATAATTAATATTTTATTTTAATAAGTATATTATTTCTTATAAAAATATTTTAATTAGTTATTATTTCTTATAAAAATATTATGTGGAATAATATTTTGATAAAAAACCGTGGAAAAGTAAACCAACATACTTTGTATTTCTTTTTTAGGTTTTATCGTTTACTATTTTTCTAATGTTTACTTATAATTTAAATAATACTTTTAAATAGTTTTTTAAATACTAAATAAAATCATCACTAACTGTTTTAAAGTTTTCTTACAGTTTTCAATATAATTACACTCTTCAGCCCTCAAGGGTTGTACTTCTTCTTGATCTTTAAGGATTTCACAAATATTAGCTACTTAAGTCAGCCATAATTCTGCCATTTCACATTTGCAACAGCCTAATTTTTTTTTATTATAATAATTTTTTATTATAATAGTTTGCTACTACTTTAGTTCTATGATATTTATTCTACAATTTTTCTTCTTTGATATTTAATCTATGATCTTTGTTTAAAGGTCTTTGTTCTTTGATCTTCAATTTATGATCTTTGTACTATGAACTTCTTTCTATGATCTTTGTTAAACAATCTATGATATATGCCCTACTTCTTCCATTTTGACCCCATCATTCTCTTTAACTTGGTTATCTTGTTGTTTTTTTGATTGTTGATTTGGTTTTCATTCTTGTCATTAAATTAACTTTCACTAAACTTTCTCTCTTACAAATTCAATTAGTAATTTATATTATACAACAAAGCCTCAAATATTCACATTAAAAAAACCATATAAACTAAATATTAATTATAATATTAAAAATAACTACTAATTAAAAATAAACAAAGAGAATCTTAATGTTAGGTGCACACCAGTCTGATAATAAGCTTTAGGCCATTGTTTTTGTTTTCCCTTAAGTAGATTAAAAAAAAAAGATGAGCAGATAGAACTTCGTTTTATTTCTAAATGCTGAGATTCTAATTTTATTTACTTATAAATAAATATTACTTATGAATAAATATTACTTATAAATAAATATTACTTATAAATAAAAATTACATTAAAATAAATATTACTTATAAATAAATATTACTTATAAATAAAAATTACTTATTTAAGATTCTTAATGTCTTTTTGGATACCTTGCTTTTGCATGTGAAAAAAGTCTTGCCTAAAACTATCATGCATAAACAAAATAGTGTTGTGTATTGTACTTTTAACTTTTAGATATAACTGTGTTTTAGATAAAACTGTGTTTATAATTGTGTTTTCAAGCAAGAGTTATAAGAATTTTTTTGGTGTTTATGGGTACTTCGCTATAATTTTTTTGCGTTTATGAGTACTTAGCTGATTTCTTTGTTTTTATAGGTACTATTTTTTTCTTTTTATATTATTTTACCTATCCAAGGCCATTACAGTCAAGGAGACTACTTTAGTTTTGGCTACAATACTACTACCGCATTGGCAGCATTTTTGCATGTAAAAAAATGAATATATTTTAGTTATAGAATATAATATAGATTTAGTGCTACATATAGTGCATTAAGGTGATGAAATAAAATGGAAAAAAGAGTTCTTTGTATACTGCCTTGCTAATCAAGAATACCCTAAATGCAGAATATAGATTTTGAGATAGTTGTTAAAAATTGTTTAACATTAGACTAAATATTAGTGTAAATATGTTATTATGTTTGTTATAACTTAAGGACCACTAATGACATAAGGACCACTTATCCTTTTTTTTTTTTTTCGAGTTGCTAAATTTTATAGAAAATCATATTCTACACCTGTCTAAAAAAATTGAATTTTTGTACTTACGATGTTTTTAATTGGCTGGGCAGTTCACTTTCACTATGATTTGTTCAGACTATGAAGTTTAAATATGTCAACCACAACAATACTGGTTGAAAAGTTTTAATTTCAATAATTTTTTGATTCAACTATTTCCACAATAAAATATTTTGATGGAGTAACTAATACCTCAACTTTTGTAAAAATTTCTAAAACTAAATTAGATAACTTCCATTCACTGTTGCGATATTATTTACTAATCTATGATAACATTAAATTATTTTTGAACACTGTAAAAAAAAGTTGTTTTTCTATCACCAAGAAGTAATAAAACTGAAAGACTTAATCACGATGGGGCAGTAAAGTCTAAGTTGTTTATAGGCATGAAGTCTAGTTGTTTTCTAGTCGAATTCTCAAAATATATTTTATTTTTAACAAGTTTATAAATTCAGGGTGAAATTTATCTGCATTACTATCAGTTTTTAAATCAGCTGTGGTTTTAAACCAAATGTGATTTTCTCAAAAAAAAATTTTTGTTAAGAAAACATAAATTCTTTGATGCTTTAAATTCAAAAGGCGTGTGAGATCTTTCTGAAATATTTCTTCCTAATATATGCTTAATCTTCAAAATATACACTTCTTCATGATTTATTAGACAACTCCAACACCAAGGCATCAAAAGATTTACAAAAGGTTATGTGAAGATGTTTTAATAGTCTAGAAATAAAATCTTGAGATATAGTAGTCCTACAACTTTTGGGGTGGGTTTCGGGGTAAATAAAAATAAATAGTATAATTATTTTATTCCAGTTTAATAAAAATTATTTTGCGTTAATAAAAAATTGCATATATGATATACTTTTTTATTTCAGTATAATATGGGGTTTTATTTGTGACAAATTTGGAAGAAAAACTTCTCTTCTTTGGTCTGGATCAGGACTTGCAATTGCAACATTGTTATTTGGATTCACAATGAGCTTTATATGGACTGTTGTTACTCGATCTTTTCAAGGAATGTTTGTTGGTATAAGTTTACTTATATTATGTTGGTATAAATTTACATAAATTATGTTGGTATAAATTTACTTAAATTATGTTCATATAAGTTTATATAAATTATGTTGGTATTTACTTAATATTATATGTAACTGTAAATAAAATGTTTTTTTAATATGTGTTTATATAGTTTGTTATTTTTCCCCTTTCTTTATTTACCTTTTAAAGGCTTGATTGTAATAACCAAAGCATTGATAGGAGATATAGCAAATAATTCGAATCTTGCTACTGGTTTAAGTTTTATATTTGCAGCTAACAATATTGGATATATAATTGGACCAAGCATGGCAGGTAAATAAGTTTGTTGTTTTAAAAACCAATGTATGTTATGTTTTAAAGTTTTTAATTTTGCAATTAAAAACTTTAAAAAATAAAAAAAACGTTTTTTTTTTTTTTTTTTTTTTAGAGTATACTTTTAGAGATTTTATAACGCTGTAAAATTCAATTAAAAATTCAAAATATTAAATTATATAAACTTTATTCTAGATATTTTTTATTTGAAAATATCTAAGCACTCCTGTTTTAAAATAATAGTATTATTGAAAAAAATCAATATTGTTTATTATATTTATAACTCTCAGATGCATGTAAACTTATGTAAATTTCTAATAAATTGCTAATTTAGCTAAATAATGAATATAATTATAAAAGACAATATGAATTTGCTAAGGAACCGTAAAGCTATGAAACACAAAAACCATCCTCCATCCATCCATCATTTTTTTTTGTCTATTGAGTCTTATCTTTTGCAAAGTTCACCAGACCTACTTGCTCTTTGTGAGACTAATTTCATTTCAACTTTCTTATTATGTAATCTTAGTACTGCCTTTTATCTTCCTTTAATTCGTAAAGACTCCAAAAATTATATGCTTAGCCTGGGCATTTACATTCGTAAGAATTCACTTATTTGTTGAGAAACTAGGTTTGAATACACAGAAAAGTCCTTACATTTAGCAGAAAAGTTTAAGTGTACACAGTCTTATATTGTTACAAATTGTTAAAAAGCAAGGAATATAAAATTGTTGAAAAAACAAAGAATAGTCTACTGAAAAAAAAACAAGAGCACCGGAATACACTGAGTAACAAACATCAACCATGAAATCTCAATACCGCTGGATGATCCAAAATTACTCTGGAAAATGATTTGTTTTGGATGGAAAAAGTTTTTTCCACTTCTCCAAAACATAAGTTCCAGAAAATGATTGATATTACGCAGATAAAAGTTCTACAAACCTACAAAAGTAAAATGCAAACATAATCACAAGTTTTTGCAGAGAGTGATGCTATACATTGCTATATATGAGAGGGAAATTTTTAAGCCATATTTCAAGTGGTTTGGCTATTAATCAAGAAGTATACTAAAATCATTGTTTGAAAAAAATATTCATTCCATTTCTTCAAAAATATCATTCAGATGGCAATTACTTGATTTGGCCAGATAAAGCATCATCGTATTATGCCAAAAAAACACAAGCCTTCTTGGTAAGCCAAAACATTCCATATGTACCAAAAAATAGTAATCCTTGAAACTTGCCTCAGTGTTGCCCAATTAAAAACTTCTTTGGATATTTTTTGTTGTTGTTAGTATACAAAAACAACTGGAGAGCTAAGAATTGCATATAATTGATTACTTGAATCAAAAGATGCATTCGTCAAATCAATAAAAATGCTGTACAACTATGTCAAACTGGTGGTGATAGAGCATATTCGAATGTTCATTAATTTTTTCTTAAATATTAGTGAGGTGCCTTCAATTAAAATAAATATAACTTTCAATTTCTAAACATTTGTTTTTAATATAGCTTGATATGAAAATTCTCATTTTTTAATTATCACTTGTTATATAGCTCTCCTCTATCTCAAGACTTTTTTAGCGTTATTTTTGATCAAAAACCTTTCTCTCTTTATCCTTCAGCCAATATCATTGTTGTTGGTGACTAATGCTTATCACACTGAATGGCTTGGTTCTAGTGTCAGTAACTCTCCAGGGGTTAAAGCCCATAACTTTTGCCATTTTCAATCTCTAACACAAATAGTCAACTTTATAAATCGCTTTTCAAACAATTCGAATCATTTACCTTCTCTTCTTGAGTTATGTTTTATAAGACTAATTGCAAACTAATTATTTATACTGCAGAATAATTATTTATTTTATAAACAATTATTTATATTATAAATAATTATTTATATTACAACTAATTATTTATACTACAAATAATATTTTATATTATGAATAATAAGTTAGCAATCTTTTTACTATTTCTAAAACAGAAATTATAAAAGACATAGTGAGTTTGCTTTGCAAATTTATGAAATTAGTTTGCAATTTATTATTATTTTTTTTTTTTAAATAAAAATAGTCACGATGACAACAAATTTTAGCTTTTGTTTAGACTACTAGAATTTTTTTCCAGAAATTAAAAAAGTTTTTATTATATTTTTATCATTTATAAATAGCTTTTAATCATCAAAAGTAATTTTAGTAAGTATTGAATTAGTATGAAGCTAAAAGTTTTTTTAAAAGTATTACAAATCTTATTTTCTAATTACTCAATAATTTCAAAATGTTTAAAAATAATGTTTTAGTAAAACATGATACTTGTCTATAATAATCACTTTGATGGTTTACTTCACTGTTTAGATTATTCATTAAGTGCTCAACTGAATCTTATTCTTCTACCTGCTAGAGCATGGCATCTGTTATTTTGATTTTGTAAAAATAGCTGGAGACTGCTTTGACTCCATAACCACCGACCTTTTATACTATTGGTATCAAAGTCTTTGAATCTTTAATTAACAAACTTCTAATACCTCATTTTGAGTTCTAAAACTCGAAAGTAGATAAAGGTTAGGATGTTGTTTTTTTCTATAAGTGTTTCTAGAAAAGTTTTCGAAATAATGGATTTTTTTTTTTCAAATGCAGTTTTAAAAATGTCATTGATAGACACACACTCCATTTCCTGTACCTTCTACAATGTCACAAGGTTCTAATTATAGTTCTGTGTTGTTCTTTATCTATGTCCTACCTGTTCCCTATGTCCTTTACCTATTTCCTACCTGATAATATTACCTCTCAAGTGGCAACATTGATTTTTGATATAATTTGTTTTATGTTTAACTTTCTTCTTTGTTTTTGATTAAATTTTGTTTTATGTTTAACTTTCTTGATTGTTTTTTGTTTTACTTTTGTTTTATGTTTTCCTCTTTATTTTCTACTTGCAACTTAATTAGTGATTGCTTTGTAGCCGTATTGGAATTAAATTAGTTTAAAAGATAAAAAAGAACAAACTGTTTTGAGGTGTTTAAATATATTTAGCATTCGATAAAAATAAAAAAAAGATTTGGTTTGCGTGAAATAAAATTTTTCTATTTATATATTTTATTTTAATTATTTATTTTATTTTATATATTTATATTATATATTTTATTTTAAATTATTATTTTTATTATTATTATTATTATTATATATATATATATATATATATATATATATATATATATATATATATATATATATATATATATATATATATATATACATACATACACACATATATATAAAATTTTATATATATATATATATATATAATTTATATTATATATTTTATTTTATATATTTACATTATATATTTTATTTTAAAATTTTTCAATTATAAGTTACTAATTAAAAAATTTATTTGATTTTAATTCATTTTTTAAAAAAGCAAGTTTTTATCTTTGTATTACAATAATTTTTTTATAAAGATATAAATTTAAATTCAAAGTTTTTTTAAAAATATGCAAAAAAATTTCTGCTTACAATTAAAGTTAAAATTTTTACTACAATATTAACTTATATTCAATCTAACTTATACTTTCTTATATTACTTAGGTTTTCTTGTCTTCCCAGCTGAGAAGTATCAAAAAGTCTTTGCAAAGAGTATTATTCTTAATATTTTTTTTCAAGTTTTGAGTTTTTTTATTATTAGTGAAAATATCTTTACCAGGTTTTATATTTTATCAAAATATTCTTTTTAGATGGTTTTTTTGACATTTTCAAAGTGTTACTACCAAATATAATTATCAGTTCTGGACTTATAATTGTTCTGTTAGTTGCTGCAGTTTATATTCCAGGAAAAAAAAGGTAAGACAACTAAACAATTAAAATAAATTATAATAATCAGGGATGGACTGGGGCAACCATTTTGTCAGGGAAATCTATATTTCGAATGATCTTTGCTGTTTCTCCTTATTATAAGATATAAAAACTCAAATATATATTTTTAAATAATGAGAGGTAAATTTTATACACATTTTCATTTTTTGCAGAAAACAACTTAACGTTCTCAAGTAGTTTAGTAAATAGTATATTATGTAGTATAATGCATTACGTACATAGTACTTATTTATAGTTACCTATATTAGTTTTTTTACACTAGGTATAACACAGTTTGTACTACTATCGTCTTAGATATTGTGTAAAAAATAAAACATAAATTATATATATATATATGTGTGTATATATATATATATATATATATATATATATATATATATATATATATATATATATATATATATATATATATATATATATATAAATATATATATATATATATATATATATATATATATATATTTATGTATATATATATATTTATATATATATATATATATATATATATATATATATATATATATATATATATATATATATATATATATATATATATATATATATATATCTATCTATATCTATATATATATATATATATATATATATATATATATATATTATATATATATATATATATATATTTATATATATATATATATATATATATATATATATATATATATATATATATATATTTATATATATATATATATATATATATATAAATTTATATATATATATATATATAAATTTATATATATATATATATACATATATATATATATATATATATATATATATATATATATATATATATATAAATATATATTTATATATATATATCTACTATAACATATTTATATGCGCTGTTGCTCACTTTTTTTGCTAGCCTAAATTAAGTGAGACTTTTTAGAAAATGATGAGAAAAAATGAAGAATAACAAATGAAAAGGTTGCTGTCCCATACCAAACCCTCAGTCGATGTAGCAGCACTCCGCTGCGAGTCAGGCTATTTGTCAGTCGATGTATGTTCTGAAGCCCCCGGCAGCAGGCTATTTAAGTATGACGTCATCGTGCTCACCTAACTCAGCAGTATAATATATATATATATATATATATATATATATATATATATATATATATATATATATATATATATATATATATCGTTTTATGTAGTGTTGTATTAAAATAATACACAACTCTTGTTCGTTGAAAAGTGCTCAATATTTAAGAAATTTATTTTGATTATATATAAATTTCATAACAGAGCCGTTTATAATTAAAAACGAAAAAAGAAAAAACTTTTAATATGGAACTTTAAGTTTCATGCCTAACGGCAATCATCAGCCATATATTACAAAATTTAAAATAGACGTTAAAATTACAATTAAAATTACGGTGGCGTGAGTTCTAATGACTCCATGGAAACAAAACTTTAAGTTTTAAGAGTATCACGTGGCGTAAAAGTGACGTAAACCAATCAGGATCAATCTGCGGTATCATAGGAGGAAATAAGAAATTTATTTTTGTGTCTACACTTCGAGATTATTTCATACATTAGAATTTGAAACTTCTCGTTCAAACAGAGGTTACACACTCTTGATGTTGGGTTGTATGGTTTGCAATGTTTAACAATTTTCCATCTGACAAAAGGTGTAAAGTTTTTTTCTTTTAATTTCCATATTTCTTTAGATAACTCTGTATCATTTTTATATCTAATTGAATTAAAAGATTTGAGGTGGTTTGCGTATCGAACTTTAAAAGATGTCTCGCTGAGTCCAAAATACACTTTTTCTTTGTACTCCGGATTGTTTGAACAAACGGTGGCTTGATAAACAATGTTGTTAGAAAGACAACTTTGACAACTTTGTTGTTAGAAAGACAACATTGTTGTTCATTGGACATTTGGATTTATCAATGCAGTTGCATGTCTTTTCATTAACTTTTGCTTCCTCATGTAACGTGTTTTTATTGTGAGAGTTGATAATGGATTTTATGTTTAGCATACAGGAATAACTTATTTTGATTGTGTTTCTATTAAATATTTTACGGAGTCTGTGGTTAACTTGAAAGTGGTGGTCGATGAGGTTTAAAAAACATTTACCTATTTTTGTTACAACATTTGTACTGAAAAGAGGATTATACGAAATTATTTTATGTTTATGGTTGTTGTTTGAAGATTTTATACTTGGATGGTATGCAAGTTCGCAAGTGTGTCCAGATTTTTTCAGGGTTTCTTAATAAGGAGGAATATTTTCTTTAAAAATTGATTCACTTGACGATGCTGCTGATAATCTTAACTCAATGGTTTTAGGAACACTTTTTATTATACTCGGTGGGTGGTTAGAACTTGTATGTATGTAATTAAGTATATTATCTGCTTTGCGGTAGGGTTTAAATGAACCATCTTTAAGGTTTAGCGTTAAATCCAAATAATTAACTATTTTCAAATTACTTTTAATGGATATTAAAAAATTGTTATTTTTAAAGATTTGTACAAAATGTTTTTTTATCTTTTCCATTTCTTGACCACTTTTGTTTCTAAATATAGCTAATCCGTCATCTCGATATATACCGAAATTATTTTTATCATAAAACTGCGAGAAATAAATATATATGTATATATATATATATATATATATATATATATATATATATATATATATATATATATATATATATATATATATATATATATATATATATATATATATATATATATATATATATATATATATATATATATATATATATTTATATATTTATATATATCTATATTTAAGCATTTGATAAAGTATTATCAACTTTATGAAAAATATCATTAACATAAATGCCTTCTTTTTTCATTTTGCTAAAAACTTGTTTGCCATAATTGAAATGTTGTCTAATATAAAGTAGTAATCATGTTCAGTAAACAAGGACAACTTGAATGAAAAATACATAAAAATTCAAGCTGCCTTTACGCAAATTATCACTGTCTGAACCATTGATCTTACAGACCAACCGTAAACAAAATAGCATTAAACATACATCAGGGGATGGCAGGACATTGTTCCAAGACAATTGCCCAATAGCCTTGTGAAAGGGAAGCAAAAATTCTACAACGTTAAACAACAATTTTTCATTAACCTTGTTAAGGAAGAATGGGCTTAACTGGCATGCCAATGATTACAAAAGAAAAAAATTGGCTGTTGCAACTTGTCAAAACATTCTATTTGAAAGTGTGATGTAGCTCATGGTTTTTCCCACAATATTCGAAGTTGACCTCCTTAATTGAAGTCTTGATGATTTCATAAACTAAATTAGCACCATGGGATTTCAAAGCCTTTTTAATAGATAAGTTCAGATATTGACCTGCACATCAAGTCTAACATTTTTGCAATAAACTAAATTCATATTACTCCCGTTATCAGTCACAATTACTAAAGAAGTAACTTCTTATAGTCTAAGAGAAAAGTTTTTTAAGTATTTGTCTCAGCTTTTATAACAATGTCAGTTTTATATTCACTAAACTCAAATAATCCAACACACTTATAAGGCCATACCTGCCATTTTTTATTAACATCTGTCTTTTTAGGTAAAAAGCTTTTTAATTGTTCGGACAATTAAAAAGCTTTTTACCGAAGAAGATAATTAAAAATTAAAATTTAGTTTTTAATTGTCCAGGATCTATACTGATTTCATTGATGTGTGATGTATCATGTCTTTCTAGTGTGGCACTGACATAATTCACACTGTTTACAAATGGCAACTCCTTGACAAACCGTTGATCACAACATGATCACTCACAATTATACACAATTATAAATAAAATGTATTGTAACAAGGTCAATTAATTCTATTTAATATTCAATAATTAATTAATTATCAAAATTGAATGCAGCTCAGACAGACATTGTGTCATAGTGTGTGCAATATGCAATGCCTTTGAAAAGTAGGTGGTTATAGATTACTCGAAATGTTTATATAACTAAATTATTATCTGTGTGTCTAGCATTCACTTTTTTCCATGATGCAGGTATTAATCAAGCTTTGCTTTTTTTTTATTTCTCCAACACTTTTTTAATCCATTTATGAGTTATTTTACTGTTACTTATTACTAAATTATTATGTAATTACTGTACTCATTAATTACAAAGATATGAATAAAAACATGGAATCAACAACACATCAATATTTTAAATGTTTACAAGCCTAAATGTAAATGTTTACATTTCCTAAACCCTAAATGTAAATGTTTACACTTCCTATTTGGTTTTTATGTATTGTATTATGTTAAATATTGCATGTTAAATGTTACGTATTATGTTATGTATGATAGTTATGTTATCTTATGCATTATAGTTGTACATAATTATACATATAATATAATTATATATATATGTATATATATCTATATATATATATATATATATATATATATATATATATATATATATATATATATATATATATATATATATATATATATATATATATATATATATATATATATATACTCTTGCATGTCTCTTGCGTGGCATCAAAAAATGTTTCCCATAAACTGTAGTTTTAAAGAGCGCGTTAATAAACCAGACCAGAAAAAGTTTTAAAAATTAAATTTTTTTTTTTAATTGATAGACTGCCTGGCCAAACCAAACCCTCAGTCGATGTAGCAGCACTCTCTTGCGAGTCAGGCTATTTGTCAGTCGTTGTAGCAGCACTTCCTTGCGAGTCAGGCTATTTGTCAGTCGATGTAGCAGCATTCCCTTGCGAGTCAGGCTATTTGTCAGTCGATGTAGCAGCACTCCGTTGCGAGTCAGGCTATTTGTCAGTCGATGTAGCAGCACTCTGTTGCGAGTCAGGCTATTTGTCAGTCGATGTAGCAGCACTCCGTTGCGAGTCAGGCTATAAGATAGTCGATGTAGCAACATTTACGCATGTTTAAAAAATGTTTTTTATTAAATCAATAACAAAAACACCACTAATTAAAAAAAACTTTCTAGTCGTTATAATTGCGGTTTTTTAAAAATTTTTAAAAAAACAATTAAATTTAATGTACTTCCGCATAAATTAATTGCTTTGACATTTCGATGACAATCAAAAACAGCTTAAGAGACGAGGTAATTAAAATTGTAGTCGTAAGAGACTTTTTTTACATTAAAATGCTCTTAAAGCTACTCTATATGGGTATATATATATATATATATATATATATATATATATATATATATATATATATATATATATATATATATATATATATATATATATATATATATATATATATGTATGTATACATATGGTATATATATAAAAATATATACCTAAAAATCCTTTAAGTATTAATAAGGAACTTGATAGTGTTAAAGAAGGACAATCACTGATGCAACCAGTTAGACATCAATATCATCAATGTCAAGACATTTTTATCAAAAATTCAAAAAGAAAAGACACCTTAAAAACGGTGGTCCATGTGGTGATTATTTTAAAAGAGTTTATTCATTTCTAATGACTGTGAACGGAAAACATTTTTTTCTTCTGGATTGTTTGATGCAAATGTTTTTAATCATCTGGGAATGAAACTTCAGACAGGTTATCCGAAGTTTCATTCCCAGATGATTAAACACTTCCTTAAGTCGAATTTAAGTCGAAATTCCCAGATGATTAAAAACTTCCTTAAGTCGAATTTCAAAGTACATAAAACATAATATATTGCTAACAGTAACTTTTTTAAATTACTTAACATGTTAAATTAACATGTTTTCTTTTATGCATGTAATAATAAAATGTAAACTGCCTTCATTTAACAAATATATTTTTGGTTTAAAATGTATTGTTTTTATTTTATTTAACACTAGGTAATAAATAGAATAAATAATCATTTGTAACAATAAACTGGACTGGCAGTAACACCAGACAAACTTTTTAGTAACAACTAACTGGATTACTAATAACTATATTGCTAAATAAAACTGTAACAAACAAAAAAAATTTCATATGTATTCTGTTTTTCAACCATCTCAACTAATATACTTATGAAAGTATTAAAAATATTACAAATATTTTATTACCCTGTTTTAACTAAAATTTTATAGGTTTCTATAAAAGGTCGTAAAAAGTAAAGTATAGTTCATATAATGAATATATTTATATTGTTTTTGTGTAATTTGTGAAGTGATTGCATGCATATGACTAATCGAGCCGCCTTGTCAGATAGACATGAAAGTTTTTAAATGGTGTCTATTTAATTTTTTTCATGATATATATACATAAGCCAAGACACAATAAATTGTTATCATATGATTTAATTTATTCTTACAATCAAGTATTTTTTTCATTTAGAGTTAAAGTTAAGGTTGACTTACTAAATCTTCAATCATCTTCACAATTTCTTTGTGAACCTAATTCTATTGATGATTTAAAAAGTGATGAATCAGAAAATCTTCAATCTTCTAGACAATTTCAGTTTGAATCTGTTGTAAGTGATGACTTTGATGACACAAAAAGTGATGAAAATCCTTTAATCAAAGACCAAACAATACTAAAAATGCATAACGAAAATAACCTTCGATGTGATTCAGTCATAATAGATACTGAAAATAGCAAGCCCACAACAAAATATAGAAAACTATTGAGGTAGCTTATTACTATATATTTATTAGTTTATACTCTATTTAAAAGATTTCTTTGGTTTTTTTTTTAAATAGAATTTACTAAGAATCTTTCTTTTAGAAATAAAATTTTTATCCTTTCAACTGTTTTATATGGAATGTTTTCAATGACAACTGTCGGTTATGAAGACATGTTTCCTGTATTTGCTGCTACAGATATTAAATATAGTAACTTTTTATAAAACTTTTATGTGGATTGTTTTTTATCTGAATGCTTTTTTTTAAAAAATATTTTTCATAAATATTCAGATGGGTTAGGCATGACTACATCAGATATTGGTTTAATTTACTTGGTTACAGGAATAACTGTTATTATAATTCAGTTTTCAATTGTTAATAAGGTAAGAAACTTTTTTCTTAAAATTCAACATTTTTCTACTGATCATCTTCATTGTTAGAAATTGTTTGCTTTTTTACAAGTCAAAAAAATGCTTATATTAGACTAAAGTTAAGTCTAAGTAAAGTATAAGACTAAAATTTGTATAAGGTTGCATAAAACATGCATTTAAGTAAACCTAAAACAAGTATGTGAGATTTTGTACATATCTTAATCTATATATATATATATATATATATATATATATATATATATATATATATATATATATATATATATATATATATATATATATATATATATATATATATATATATATATATATATATATATATATATATATATATATATATATATATATATATATATATATATATATATATATATATATATATATATTGCACAGGGGTGGTAATATTAAACTAGACCAAATATTATTCTTTCATTATTCCTAATATTGGATTTTGTAAAACAATTTATTTTTATTAATAAATACAAATTGTAAATCTTTTATTTATTATTTTTTAGTTTCTTTATTATTTTTCTAATTTTTTTAATATCTTTATGCATTAACATGTCACATTTATGCAGTTGTTTTATCCAATTTTATATTTGTATAAAAAAATTGCTAATTTTTAACAAACAATAATTTTAAAATTACTTATATATATATATATGCTTATTTTTTTTAACATCCTCTTTTTAACAACATGAAAGAGTTCTCTTTTACACTATTTAAATGGGCATTTTATATCAGAGTTTTATTCCTAGATAAATTGACCACAACTATGAAGTTTTAATGTCTTGGCAATGGTAATATAAAAATTTATATTACCATTGCCAAAAATGGTTTAGAAATGACTTTTTAATGTTATTTGATGTTGTTGATTGATGTTTGATGCTGTTTTGTTTTTTTTAATTTTTGTTTGGTATTGTATTTTTTTTTATTTTCATGGATGAAAAAAACGATTTTAAAAAATTACATAAAGAGTTTGACAAATGTTGTTTCAATTTATTAATAATTTTTTGAGAACTAAGCTCAAAAAAGTAATATTAAATTGAAATAACATCAAAAAAGATATTAATAAATTGAGCTACATTTTGAAAGTTAATATTAGTGAATAGTTATAACTAATAATAAAGTATAAATACAAACAATAATAATAAAGTATATATTAAAATTATAAAAATATAGTAATTCTAATTAGTATTTTAGTAATAAAGTTTGCACTAGAGTAATTCATTTACACATTTTTTGAATTTTTTTGAATTTTTTTTTTTACAATTTAAAGTTTACTATAATACATTAAAATTCAAAAATAAATAAAATCTTTTTTTTGATAAATCTCACAGTATTACAGAAAATCTTTTTATAATCAACAGGTTTTATAATACACCATCAACATTTTGTTATAATAAATGTATTATATATATAATACATAGTATTTTAAAATACATTATATATACATAATGTATTTTATTTTTCTAAATTATAGGCTATTGACAGATTTGGTTCAAAAAAGGTAATACTTTTATTCTATGAAAAATTGATATTTAAAAAAAAATATACCCATTTTTTAAAAACATAATAGATTCTGGCTTTTTAATTCAAATTATTGTTAACATTATCAAATCCTATTTTCATCAAACATGAGTTTTCAGAGAGGTTAAATTTTCTGTGCATTACTTTCAAACAATCGTCACAATAAGGCTAAATCATTAAAATCAATTATTTTACTCAATAAATCTTAAATACATAGTACAAAAAGTTCAAAAATTTCTGCTCTGTCATTACTGCCATTGTTACATCAAAGTAATAATGTATGTTTTTCTTTTTTCAAGTTTCCCTATTAATTAAAGTATAGTTTTTCTGCAATGTTTTTTAAGTTTTGTTTATTTTATAATAACTGTGTGGCTTTTTACAAATGCAATTGATTTTGCTACTAAGATTACTGAGAACCAATTTATAACATCACTAGTATTTTTCCACTGTTGTGTGTAATAGCTTATATAGCTGATAGAAGATTTGGACAACACTATATTAAAAAATTGAGCTAAAAATGGTACTTTCCTAATGTGGCTTTAGTGATGTTTTCTGTAGCCTAAAACTGGCTGCCATATATATATATATATATATATATATATATATATATATATATATATATATATATATATATATATATATATATATATATATATATATATATATATATATATATATATATATATGTTCCATAATTTTATTTCATTATTTTTTTTTTTTTTATGTTGAAACGTTTGAGCCAAGTCTTACCAGTCTTTACATGTGCAGTTTTTCGCCTTGTATGTCCACACATGAGTATTTTATTATAGAAAACTTGATCACGGCTGTTTTCAAAATTTTTTATATTTGGTGTTGCGAAAAAACTCAGTTTCAAACACAAAAAAAGCAAAATTAACAAAATAGGATATTAAAATAAATTTAAATAAAAAGAAAACAATTTAAATGAGTTTTACAGCTGTGACCAAGTTGTCTAAAATAAAATACTCATGCCTAGACATACAAGAAGAAAAACTGCAAGCGTTTCCTGGGAAGGCTTGTGAGCAATATTTATTTTTAAATTTAAGTTAGTGTAGTACATAACACTTGTTTTATAGCATGTTGATTACTGGGGATTTTAAGTCTTTGTGCTTTTCACCAATTTTTAATATCTATACTATTAGCTAAAGTTGCAAAAGGAAAATGATCTACATCTGTTAAGCTAGTTAATACTAGTTTTGTTACCTGTTTTATTACAGTAGACAGCAACACTTGACTGTATATATTTTTTTTCTTTTCTGAAACAATTTAGATTAGAAAAATATTGTGTTTGTGCTTTCAATGATATAAGGAACTTGAGTCGATAAACTGAGTTTAAGTTTTGCAAAAGAATGATTGCACTTATACAATGATTTTGTTTTACTTTCCAATTAAAAATGCTTCAAAACATCAGGTTTTTTTCAGCACTGTAAATATATTGTTTATATTTCTCACCAATATCAGAAAAGTAAAAATAATTTTTGTTGATTCTTAGAAAATGCTAAATTGTTATTATAACAATAATAAAAAGAGTTTGAAATTTATGTTGTTAAATTTAATATATATTATCAAAATAATTTGAAAACAAAAAATAAATCAATCGATCGTTTGTAATTAATCGATTAACAATTAATTTTTATTAATCATTCACCATCCCTACTTAGTTTTTTGCATACCTCTCTCTTGTACCATAATAAACGGACCACAAAAGTCAACAGCTGTTCTTGAAAAAACATATAAATGTATCTTTAGCATAACCTTTGGTAATGGTGCCATAACTTGATTCTCATTTTTAGTTTTTTGCCTTTAAATTTTTGGCATTAAGTTTTACATTCTTTACATCCATTTATGCCACATGTTCTTGTTCTGGTACACAGACTTCCAATATGGTTTTCTCCCAAGAATCCATATCATAGTTAATTAACTTTCACAATTTTCCAGCTATTTTTAATATCAAGTTGTTTGAATTGATGAAACAATACTGACTTCCAGATTTCATAATTAGGTTTATAACCTGTAAATACTACAGTCAAAACTCTCTTCAACTGTATTCATAAATTTTGATTGTTCTCTTTTCTTGCTTTTGCTTGTACTTCCAGGTGTACCAATTTCGAGTATTTAAGGAAGCCAGTATTTGCATTTAATTCACTGTCTGAAAGGTTTGGTTCAGTTTCTTTTTAACATATATCATTGTCACTTGTTCCAACAAAGCTTGTGCTTTCATTATAATACTTTATATTTTGCGGTTCTAGTTACTTTTTAAACCTTTTTTCAATTGCTTTCTCTTCTAGCATAAGCTTTTCTTGTTTTTGTTTATACTTAATTTGCTTCCTGAGAACTTTGTTTTTATTTTGTGTTTAATATCTACACAATATTTCTGGATGAAAAAATTTAAAAAGATTGCATTGAACAGTTAGTTGAAAAAATGATCTTTTGTACAATACAAGTGTTAGTTTGTTTGGTCCATTATCTGACAGAATTAAACTTCAATTTTTCCCATTTTGTTGTCTATGATAATCAGTTTTTCAGCGTTTTTTATTTTTTCGCACTGATGTGACAGTTCTATCAACTATTGCATTACTTCTTGTTTGTTTTTTTTATTTAAAAGTTTACAAAAAAATTGTTTAAACATATAATCCCTGTCAACCTGATCCTATAAAAATTTAACAATGTTTTTATATAAACTAATATAAAAAGAAGTACATATCAGTTATGGAGATGCCATACATTTTTGTCGAGAAGCATATTAAATTTTTCATCTTTTACAATATCTTTAGGAAGAGAGTTCCATTTATTAATTATTTTTATAGAAAAAAAAGTTTGTACACATATGTATGTTTTTTTTTAGTTTGAATATATGACCACGGGTATTGAATTGGTTATTAGTTTCAAATAAATTTTTATCATCATTATTATTGCACCATTTGAAGAAATTAATTAGATCTCCACGAATACGTCTGTATTTTGAGCTTGTCATATTTAGAGCAAATAGTCTTATTTCATGAAGAAGATCATTGTTCGTACTAAAAATAGTCTCATTTAGAAGATCTTCTTAGTATGTTTTCCATTTAATGTTAGTCTTTGAGAAGTTGCGGGATACAAATTGGTCCAAAATATTTTAAATGGGGGCTGATTAGGGTGAGAATAGTTTAAATGAGTATAAGACAAAAATGATTAATTTATCAGACCCTATGTTTGTGTTGCTTTGTCAACTTGATTAGTTATGTATTTTGAAAATGATAAACTCAAGTCTACGTGAACACCTAAATCCGATTCACAAAATGTGGGCTTAATGTTGATTCTTTTGTTTTGATCTGAATCATACAAGGTATGGATTGTTTTGTTGTTGTATCCCAAGTATAGTACAGAGCATTTATCAGTGTTAATTTTCATTCCCCATTTTTGAGACCATTTAACAATTTAATTAATACTGTTTTGTAATTCTTGCAGAGATTTGTAATTCTCGCAGAGAGTGTTTTCAAGAGAATGAAAGAATTCGGTATCATCAGCCAAAGTGCTGCTTTTGACTTGATTATTTTAGAGATATTCTTGACATAAATGATGAAAAGTAACGTAGAAGGAGCCTTGGGGAACTCCAATTTCAACGGAAACCTAGTTTGAGTAAGTGGCATTTACAACAACTCTTTGTCATGGTTTTCTAGAGGGTTTTTTATTCAACAAAGTAATAATTCATTTATACTAGAAGTTTCAGGTTTCGAGAAAAGAAAGTTGTGTGGAACCTTTTAGAGATAAAAAAGTTGGTTTTCAAAATTAATATTCTAATTTTCAATGGGAATATTATTATCAATTCATAGTGTCCAAAATCAATTACATTTAGTAGATTAGTTAAACAGTAGTGACCTGAACAAAATACATGTTGGTGTGAACTGGATGAGTTGTTTTTAATTAGGTGTGCAATATTATAATTTTGTATTATTCTTTCAAAATTTTTTATTAAGATACAAGTTAGACTGATTGAATTAATAGCTTTTGGTCTCCTTTTTCAAATATTAGTAAAACTATTGTATTTTTCTATATTTGTGGTATTGAACTGCTTTCAAAGACTTTTTTAAAATAGTAGATAAATGTTTTAGCTACTAGCTCTAGCTTTAGATGTAGCTAGCTTTCTTAAATACTATCGAATGTAATTTGTCAGATGATATAGATGTGTTTACATTATGGATGTATGTATCCATATTGTTTGAAAGCAGATTTTCATTTTTATATCGCTGGTCAAACAAGGGTATTTCTGTTCTTTTATCGCTTGAAAAAGTAATAACAAAATATTCTTTGAACTGTTGAGCTTTATCTAGATTTGATGTTGTAACTTTGTTATTGTAGTAAATTTATATATTTGTCATTTTATTTTATTTTTTTAACTTGACATATTAGTATTAAGCGATTAGATTTTCTTCAACGTTTTTAGCAATTTTTTACTTGAATTTGATAATTGCTTTTCTGCAGATTTGATTTTGCTTCATAAAATGTGATACTCATCATCTGTTTTGATGTAAAATCTGACTTTTTGTAAACAGTTGATGACTTTTCCCTAGTAAATAACTCCATGCGCTCACTTAATCAAAGTTTAAAATAATATTTTTCTTGTAAAAACTATGGACCTGGCACCTAAATTGTATCTGCCTGTTGTCTGAAATATATTTATAATAATAATAATAATAATAATAATAATATATTTTTTTCTATTTGATATATTGACGATATTTTGCTCAGTATTTGATAGTTTATCAATTTTAGCGTTTTATGTTTTTCTTAAAATTCCACAGTTGTTCAGAATTGGATGTTTGACAGATTTTAATAGTTGCTAGATCTTTTTTAATTCTATCATAGTTCCCTTTTGTGTATAAAGGTCTTGTTTAATTTGGCTGTAGATTTTCAATAGATTCGATCAATAGAGCAAATTAAAATAGCTGTTAATGAATTTTGTCTATGAATATATGCGATATA